CAATGTATAACCTCTCTGTATATTTATCCATACAAATTCAATTGATTTTTAATTGAGTTCCCTCAAACAAACAGAGTAGCCTTAATAAACTGAAGCTGCTGTCTGTTGTACCATCTCAGAATCAATTAAAACCTTGAACGGATTTGCAAATGTTATTTTAAAAATATTTTCTCATATTAAGCTTAATTATACTCCTATTCCAGCTTCTTTTGTCTCCCTCCAGTCATTTCTAAATCAGATAGTGACAAATATAATAGTATCCATATTGTACCACTGTTTGTTCCCAAGGTGCTATTTGCAATATGTATTCAGGCAGCCAGTGTAAACATGCAATATGTAGGTTTAATCAATCCGTCCGCTTGACAAATGGCCTCCTTGGCAGGTGGCAGAAGAGACATTTTACTTGTGGCCCCTACTTCAAAACTCACTCAGGAAAAAAATATTATTTCCACCTTGATTTTTTTATGAAAAAATACAGTTAAGAGGCAGGCAAAACATCCCCCAAGGCTACATTGGTTGGGAATGATTTTCTCGTGGATTTTCCCCTTTTAGAGCCTACCTCACCAGTCCCAACCTCCACACCTCCATCACTCCAGACCTTGCCTTGCCAGCTCCACTGGATCAGTCACAGAACTGATCAATTTGAAGATCCTCCCACTCAGCTGCAAATCACTTCATGCCATAGCATTTCCCTACCTCTCCAACCTGCCGACATGGCACTCCTTTTCCCGCTCCTTATACTCAGCCGACTTAGGCCTTCTGAGTGTCCCTCGATCCCTCTGCTCCACCATCGACAGACATTCCTTCAGCTACAATGAACCAAACCTCTGTAACTCCCTGCTCAATCCCTCCACCTTTCGCCTTCTCTGCCCATCTTCAGATTGCACCTGAAGGCTTTCCTCTTCGACTGTGCCCACGGTCATCTTCCCCTTTTCTCTGCATCAGTATCGAGCTCTGCCACTGGTAAGTGCTCTGAGATGCTACCCTGCGTGAAGGGCACTAAATAAAGGCAAGACATTGTTCCTTTTCAATCTATGTAGAAGTGTAAAATTGTTTTTGTAAAAAAAAATATACAATATGTGTACAATACAAATCTGCACCAAAAGCACTGTTCCCAGTTTGATTTTCTCTAATTATTGTCAACCACTCCCTTTCTAAAGTTATTTGATGTACCCAATACCTTGGTTTTAAATAAGAGATGATAATCCTTGCATTTGATATAGCGCCTTCTCCTGTCATCGAGCCATCTTAAAACGCTTCAAAGAAGTTATTGTAAAGTGAGGTGACAGTCTATTTTACAGGCAAACACAGCAGTCAATTTACGCACAGCAACGTCCCACAAACAGCCATGAAGTGAAATGTCTGATTTTTAATTAGCGGATTACACATGCTGTCACATTGGATCACACTCTTTTAGTCTAATCGGGTTTTTATTGACAGTCTGGCTTCTGAATTGAGACAGATGTGCAGTCAGTGGATTTTTGAACACAATATACTCCTTTAACATACTACCACATTTACTTCAATGTTGCATTCACTTCTCCAGGATGCATTTAATGGAAGTAGATGGAGATGCGTGTATGCTACAATCCACACATCAAAATTTGCTAGATGACTTTAGTGGTCCATGTATTTAATATATATGCTTCACCAGTTACTCTGAATGGAAGGAAATAATTTAATACCCTATTTTATCAATCATAGCTGGTATCCAGATTCTTTAAACTCTCCTGAATTGCCATACATTACCATGGCCTCAGCAGTCCTATAATTTTGCTTGCCAACTGCAAAATAATTAATAATAATAATAATAATCCTTGCATTTGATATAGCGCTTTTCACGTCAGGAGGACGTCCCAAAGCGCTTCACAGAATATACTGTAAAGTGAATTGACTGTATATTTGTGGGCGAACGCGGCAGCCAATTGCGCACAGCAATGTCCCACAAACAGTCGTAGATTGAAAATGACCAATTTATTATTGTTTTTGGGTTTTTTGGAGGGATTATTATTAGGCGTGTGGAGTAAGGAAACTTGCCCAAGGTTTCGCCCTGCCTGGAAGTGAACCCAGGTGTCTTGCTTGCAAAGCAAGTGCTCTAACCACTGAGCTACAGGACTCCAAATTCTCTTTAGGATTCTCCTGTCAGTTGTGTGATAATGTTATAGTGCAGGGATGATATCACAGAAACATCTCCCAGTTTTTTTGCTTGTATAATTTCAGCGCTGCTTTTAAGTGTATCTAGCATATTTATCGTTTGATCAAGGTATCAACTTAGATTACAGTAAATAAAATTTAATGGAGTATAATTTAAATTCTGGTTTAAAGCAAGTTAATGACAATCAAATGGTGGCATTTATTCGTTATTGTTGACTGTTTATAACTCTCCACATTATTAGGAATAGAAAACTAACTTCATAGTTGCAGGTTTGACAGAACAGATTTCTTCAGAAATTAATGGAGTAGAATTTTTCCCTAGAAAGTTTTGTGAAGAATGAAGCAGCTGGTATTTTTATGGCACCTTAAATGTCACAATGCAATGTCTCAAAAAGTGTCACAGTAATTCTTATCAAGTGTGTTTTTGTAGGCAAGATCAGCAAAAATTTGGGCCACAGTAAGGTCACACAATTTATGTGAGACAAAATGCTAACTTATTTGGAGGTTCACTGGCCACAACATCAGGAGAAACTCCCTTCTGTTTTCAATAGTGTCACAGAAACTTTATGGATCATCCGAAAACAGGCAGATGGGACCTTGGTTTAACATCTCACCTGAAAATCAACACCTCTGAAAATACAGGGTTCTCCTGGCACTGCACTGAAGTATCAGTCTAGTCTATGAGCTGAAGTCCTAATCCCTAAATAAAACAATTATACTTTACCTAACTCACAAACTAAATCACTAGCAAGACTACTGTTGGGAAGAAAAATATTACAAATCTAACCACTTACCATACATTTATGGTCTAAATAAAGAATACTTCAGCTGCATTTAAGCGAATGGCATAATTCAGCCTACAGGTGTAAAATCTAAATGTGAATTGCTGATATCTCATATGTAGGGAAGCTCTCTTAGCAATTCCTAGCTGACTCGCCGAAACCCTCATACATTAACCTTCATTATATCGAGGCTGGACTATGCAAACTCCTTGCTTGTTGGCCTCCCCAACTCCTCCCTCGCAGGCCACAGATCATCCAGAACTCTGCAAGCTACATCCTCTCTCGCACCAGGCTTTGTGATCCTATCACTCCCATCCTTGCCCGACTCCACTGGCTTCCCATCACACAGAGGATACAGTTCAAGATCATGGTCCTCACCTTCAAAGCCCTCCATGGTCTTGCTCTCCCCCTACCTCTGTGACCTCCTAAACCCTACCATCCTGCCTGCTCAGCGGGCTCTTGCCTGTTTCATGTCCCCCACCTCACCCGTCCCACCATTGGCAGGAGGGCCTTCTGCCACTCTGCCCCCACCATCTGGAACTCCATCCCGCAGTCCCTCCGCGTCACCCCCTCCCTTGCTTTCTTCAAGACCCATCTCAAAACCCTCCTCTTCAACCGTTTTTCGATCACCCTGCTTCACCCTCTGCCCTCCACCCTCCCCAATCCCACCCCCAGTTCGGGTCCGAAACTCTGACTGTCCAGAGCCTTGGGATGTCCTCCCGATGTGAAAGGGGCTATCGATACAGATGTAATGTTGCTGTTGTTGACTCCTGGATAAAATACAATTTTGAGATTTCTCCCTCTTAAAATCTATTACTGCTGTGGTCATCAGCTCTCTGAACCTTTCTCCCAAGATCCACCTATACCACAATCTCTTACATGCTTTTGGCCTTCTCCCTGAATCCAAACTGGGCTGGAATCAAAATGCACCCAGAGCCTCCAGACAGTGGCATTCCTCACCTCCTCTGCTTTCCTTTCCTCCCACAATCTACAGGATTTTAAAATCCAAGCCTTGTGTCACATGACCACTACTTTTTAGATTTATCTCATACTGCTTTCAACTTTATGCTCTACTCCTCTCTTAACCTAGGGATTCCTCAATCACAAAACCTCAAAGCTGTCCCAGTGGTACGAGAGGCATCCAAGTGAGGGTTTCTGCCACGTAGCTGGTTTTGGGGGCTTCAATTATTATGGGTTGTATTGCAAGTCAGATTGTGGACAATATTGAAGCTGTTGTACATGCAGTAGAATCAGGCTTCCATGACCGTTTCTGCTAGCTTTGTTGACATTTGAATTGATGAAGCAACACAGAATTACCAAGGGACAAAAACAAGGATGAAATGACTTGCATTTATACAGTGCCCTTCACATAAGGTAGCACTTGGAGTACTGAAACACTCACTTCATCATGCATCAATGTCAAATAACCCCTGTATCCAAACATTTCAATCCAGCCTTTACCACAGCATAAAAATGGATAAAATTGTAATTCAGAAATTCATATTTCTAGAGGGAGGCAATTCTGAAAGTCAATTTAACCAGCCATTGTATTTATCTCAGCAAATATCTTTAATAATGAAATGTCTTAAAAGTTAGCTTTAACGAAATATCACACTTTATAAATTGACAACAGCACAATGGTAACAAGAACTATAGTAATTAGGATACAGAGCCAATTTGGAATATTTCTCAATTGAGAAACATTGAAGTCTGTGTTACCAAGCTCACGGGAATGCTGCTCCTACTCAATGGATATTCAATTTGGGGTTCCCTAGAGCTGGAGTGACACACCCACAGTTACCAGAAGGAATTCCTGCTTGGGCTTTCTTAATTAAGAAATCCATCAAGAAATACAATGACTTTGATACCCTCTACCACTGCACAGCGATTGCAATGCTTTTTTCCTGCATCAAATAAGAGGAGCTATAGTCAGAAATAAAGTTTTAATTCCTCTTAATAGTTCTTCCACCTAAAAATACAGTTACTACACTTTACAGGACACTAAAACCTTGGCTTGCTGGATCAATTTGGGGGATATCCAATTCAGCGAGTCAGAATTTCCGGCTAAGAGTAATTACAATTCTGGTACCAGTATTTATTGGCGATGGCGTTTTTCAGTGCCAAAAATGCCGGTAAATGCTGGACTGGCATTGTATTTGTTTGAATCCTGCAAGCAGAAGATAGGGAATAAGCTTTTTTTGCTAGCAAGATTCAAACTGAGTGAAAAACGATATCGCTGATCAAGGTAAACGCCAGCAAACATGGTGAGGTGGGGGCACGCGCTTGGAGAGGGGGCTGGCGGAAATTAACACAGGGCTTGTGGATTTTTCGTTTCAGCTGTGGGGTTTATTGTATTTCCGTGTGATACGCTTGAGACAGACTCATGATGTGAAGTTGCTATATGAGATAGGATTTTTTTCAAGAATTTGTGAATTTTTCTCTTTGGAGGGGGAAGAGGCACATTTCGGTGCTTGGATGACATTGCATTGGTTTCCTCTTCTGGCAAACAGCCATAAGGAAATGGATCACACAAGGTCCTTCCCTAGCAAAAATCTAATCTAAGCTTCCTCATCAATTATTGAATACAATCTTCAGAACAGCAACAATGATTGCTTCTAACATAGCATACCCCTACAAAATAATACTGTATACACTTCTCCATTAAATATCTACTAAAGGAATTAGCAGAGACAAGCAATTTTTTTTCCCAACTGACAATATTGAGGCTCCACTGATTAAGTACTGCTTGTAATGAAAGCATAATAGGTAAGTGGGCCCAAGCATTGGTCATTAAAGTTCAGTCTGTTAACTATGCAGAAGGATACAATTACTGGTAAGAACAGGTACAACTGCTAAAAAATGGCAGATAAAAAAAATCAGAATGTTAACAGCTAAAGCAGTGCAGTTAGAAATGAGTAATACTGGTGACAGTAAAATAATGATGCACATCAACTATTAACAACAAGTTCAAGACAAGAAAGCCATATTTTGTCATTGTAAGTTCACACTACTTAAGTACAGCTACAGACCAGTGGAGAATAAGATCCACTCACCCGTCTGAGTCGGTACGTTTACCGATGATGGGAGAATCACCCTCAACGTTTCCTTTTATGTACATGACGTTGATCTTGCTCATCTCCACTGTACTAATGTCCCTTCCTGGTATCACAGCTTGTATCCTGCAGTATGGTGAATGTATAGAATTAATTGTGCCCACACAGAGGGCAAAGCTGCAGATGGGTTGTTCCCAATAGATGTTACAAGAAGTGTTTCACTCTAAAACGTACCAATACAGGTGCAATCTAAATGCATCAAAACAAATATATTTCTTGAGAATGTGTATCAAACAAGCTATCCCCATTCTATGCATCATTCCTGAGGATATAACTGGGTCATCCTACCCCTGTTTCCCAGGATCAGTTGTTTTCAAACAAAAAAAGTCCAACAGACTATCCCAGTGTTTTAAATGTTCTCCGGTCAATCAACCAAGAGCCAACTTCGATGTCAAAGAACTTGTGATCACAAGGAAGTAATTGAAGAGGGTAAAGTTTTCCAATAATCATCACATAGCTTTGGGACGTCCTCCCGACGTGAAAAGCGCTATATCAAATGCAAGGATTATTATTATTATTATTATTATTGGAAGGTGAACACATCTCAATCTCTGCTGGTTGGTAGGTTTTCTAACCTGGTTTCCCACTCTCTTTGGTGTAATACAAACATTGCTCCAGCTGTTGGATACACGCTGGAATTCAATGAATGGGAGACAAAGGTCTCATTACAATCTTTTTCTTGAAGGTGATGACGGGCTTTGGTTCTTTCAGGTCAGTCTCTTCCTATCAAACCCAAGATCAGTTTTAATTTTTAGTTGTATCTGTGTCAGGGAGTCTGGTGACTCACTTTTTCACAGTAGGTGAGTCTATCTGGTATGGACCAATGTCTGCGACATAATAATTACATTATTGTAAAGCCTCAACCACAAACTCAAATTTGTTGACCACGCGGGACTATGTTGCGCAACTGTGTCATGTGTTATGGATTGTATACAGTCAAATTTAATACAACGTTATTCATGTCTGCCATTTATTTACTTGCTCAGTGTGGCTGAAAGACACTTGTTGGTGAAAATTGCAGGATAAATGAGTTATAAAAGGTGTTTCGAGACATAAAATGCATATCCTGCAGGGAACCCAACATCTGACACACCAACCAGTGACAACTCTGCTCTGACTGGAGATAGCCTCAGGTCAGAGCAACGTTCTTGGGAATTAGTGATACATACATGGAGCTAAAATGTTTTAAAATATATCAATGTGGTGATATAGCAAGATGAGCACTTTCGCAACCCCAATTTATATATTTGTTTAAACTTGTTGGAAAGCTGGCCAAATGGATTTTTTTTAAAACGTTGTTAAAAAAATGGGTTTCTGCACCCACCACTCCTCCGTACATATTTTTAAACTAATAAATACAGTACATGGCAATGATTGTGAGATATTAATCTCAGCTTGTGGTTCAAATGATAGTTATGAACCATTCAAACTTCATAGTCATAGTTTATGGTGTTACGAGAACTCAGCAGGATTACTGCTTTGTAATCACTCCCAGATTCCCCAGATTTTTATAGTATTTAATGGACCCAGAATTCCACATCAATCAACTGAAAATAATTCCTTGTAACTGGAGTTATGATTTCCCAATGATTACTCATTGATTGGTCAGATATGTTTCTATTAGAAGGTACAGTCTGAGGAAGAGGCAGTTTCTAGAGCAGGGCACTGCCATTGTGTGTGGTAGCAATCTAGCTTTTGAGTCAGAAGGTTGTGGGTTCAAATCCCACTTCAGGATTTGGAATTGCTTCGTCTAAGATGACACTCCAATGCAGTGCTGGGGGTGTATTGCATTGTTAGAGGTGCCATCCTTCGGATGAGACATTAAACCAAGGTCCGTCTGCCCGTTCAGGTATATGTTAAAGATCCCACGGCACTATTCAAAAAGAGAAGGGAGTTTCTCCCAGTGTCCTGGCCAACAAACCCCCAAATCAAATTGGTCACTCAATCCATGGCTGTTTGTGGGACACTGTTGTGAGAAATTGCACTGCTGTGTTTGCCGACTAATACACAGTCACTCCATTATCACATTAATTTGTGTGAAGAGCTTTGAGACTTCCTTATGATGTAATACACTTCACCACTGCCCCCACCAAGTATATCCAGTAAAGCATAGTCCATTCACACTGAACCTCAAATCATCGTCTGTTTACACTCAACCCCAGATCACAGATGAGCTGAAGTACAACAACAACAAATTACACTTGTATAATTCACATTGGAAAGACACCCAGGGCACTGGACAAGTAAGCACATATATCCTAGCTGCGTAGGAGCTGGGAGTTTTCTGGAAAAAAAACGCACATTGCAGCCATCTTCTCCAGCAGGAAATCAATTAAAGTAGGTTATAAGTTCAGTCCCTGGTCAATAGATCTTCTGAGGAGGCAAGGGCTAGTTGATAAGCTGTGATACAAAAGCTGAAGTGCAGCATGAGTAGGTCAGAGGTGGAGAAAAGCCCTGAGCCTCTTATAACTCGGATGGGGGTGGAAGCACGACATTGTGAAACTATACCCTTGCATTTTCCTCTCTTCTCCCTTCTTGTAAATGAAAGTGCTAAATGACAGAAAATTAAGGTATTGACAAGAGATTATAATCAGGTTTTGGCTTTCCATTTATTTTGAAATCGTAATCGCTTGCATGCTGAAAGCGTTGTCCTCATCATTATCTGGTTCCGAATCTGAATTGAATGTTTAGTTATATGAGGGATGTCGACAATTGTCAGGATGGGAGATTAAATCTTTCAGCGCAAGTACTGAAAACTCAATGTGTCAGAAGCAATTTCTAGTAGTCAACAGAAGTCTGATTTCTTTCCCCTTCATTTTCAAACCAGACTTGACATAGAGTGTTTTCCAAACCAAAAGCAACTTGCACAATTACAACTTTACGAGACATACCTCCACAGTTTTTATTCCTTCACCATCTCTTCTAACTTTTCGATCCTCCATTAGATATTTCCTTTCTAGTAACCGCAAAAGCCAAAGGAATTCGCTGCCTGAAGCTGATTAACACATACTTTCCCCAACCTTAAAAAAGACTCAAAGCTAAAATGTGAAATTCAAGCTCATTAAAGAAATACCTGCGACATCTAAAAACACGGAAAGGGGGATGAGGAAGAGAGGAGAATAATGCTTTTAAATGTTTAACAGGAGCAAAGGAAACAAAATAGAAACAAGTTCTACTTGAATAATCAAGAAGCCTGCATGGGGTCATGCATGGTGGCATCTTAAATTAGAGCAAGGAAGGGGGAAGGGCAAAAGGAATTTGGGTTAGACCTCCAGTCTGTGGGGCCAACTGCACACTCTCTCAGCATTCCTGCTTAGGTTTCCATTTGTCGGATACCAAAACTACAACAAATTAAAAAATTAAGACACCCAGCTTGGTTAGTCTGCACAAACTCAATTTCCCTATTTTGTGCTAGCTTATTTTTTGAAAAAAACACCATTCATGTTTCTCATACACACCAGCTGACAAGGTTTGGCTGGGGGGGGGGGGGAGAAGGGTTTGTTTAAAAACACGCAAATTGCAGCATGTACTTCATCAAAAGGAAATTCTTGGATAAGATTTATTAATAGTGTGGTCCATCCACAATAAGTGCAATTCATTGAAACCGCAGGAATGCCTCAAGTAACCAGAGGTATGCCAACCTTTTAAGCAGATGGCAGCCATTTCACACAATGTCACTGGTATAAAATATGCTGGTGGTTAACTGTACAGAAGTAGCAAACACCAGCATTTCTGCGTGAACTTTAAATGAACATTCATGTGAATCCATCCTCTACGTAGACTTGTGACATTTCTGTAACATTTTCTGAATAGCAAAACTGGGTCTAATTTGCGAATTGCGCAAACAAAGGGAATTACAGGGGCTCTTAATCATGGAATTAACAATCAATGGAAAGGATTATGGAATTAACCTCTTTAACGGTTAATTACAGAATGAATAGAACCTGCAATTCCCTCAATGTGCATGCATTTACATATAGTTTGCAAAACATTTTCATGAAAAGTTTGTGTCCAGCAAATCTTCTCTCCCCCATCTTGGTTACAAAGACTTGTCATGTGAATGTTTTCATTGTGATAAAATTAATAATAACGCTTTTCATGTCAGATCTGTTTGTAAAATGTAGTGACTGTTTATTTGTAGGCAAACAGGACAGTCCATTTGTGCACAGCAATATCTCATAACCAGCCATGAAGGGAATGATCAGTTTTGTTTTGACCCTTTCTCCTTTTCAAATAGTGGCCATGGAATCTTTAATGTCTACTTGAACAAGCTGCCGGAGTTTAACATGTCATCCGAAGGATGTCCAACAAGGCAACACACCCCAACACCGCATTGTTGCGTCAGCCTGGACTATATGAATTCAAGGTTCCAACATGGGGCTTGAACCCACAACCTTCTGACTCAGAGGCGAGGGTGATACCAACTGAGCCAGCAAACAATCAATACATTGATTTCTACCCACCTTGAAAAATAAGGTTACTAATCACTGTTTTGATGAAGACTCTTTATAAAAGAGTTCAGGTGTGAGATATTCCTCGTTACCTATCAAAGCTGCAATAAAAGTTTTAGCTATGCACAATCCGACTTGGAGGAATTACAGAGATATAGGAGTTTCTTGGCAAAATAAATAACTAAATCCTTCTCTTCCCTTGGTATTGTTTGTGTAGCTTGTGGAAGCAGTTCTTGTTTGCGATAGTTGTACAATAACTGCTATGACCATGGATTTAATTTTGTGTTACGAACGTGTGAAGTTTGTAATAATTTCAAGCCTTCAAACAAGCACCACTGGTAGCAATAATGACCAGAAATCATTCTGTGCTGCTTGCAAAGCTTTTCTGATTAAGCACAATGGACATTGGACAGCATCTTTTATTCAGCTAACCAGCTATTTGCTCTCTTTTTCTAAAGGAATTAAAGATTGATAGTTTAGTGTATAATTGATGTTCAGTGTACAACCTATCTAAGCTGACATACCTTTTTTTGCAAAACATACAAGGCTGGAATTACTTTATACTGGAGAATCTATTTGTACAAACTATTACCCAATCAAAATCTCATTTGAAAC